CTAAAAGTTCGAAAAGTTCTAAAAGTTCTAGCCGAACAATAAACTTCCAAGAAGCAAGGCTGCACGAAACACACCCGAAACTCCCACGCACCCGAAACGCAGCGGAGACATTCCCACGCACCCCAAACGCAACTAGCGCCTATCAAACTACCTGTCAACCTGTCTGTTCCTATCTACCTCTCTACCTGTTTGACCTATCTAGATACCCGTCTACCTCCCCTTCTGCCTATCGATATCTCTTTCAATCGCTTTCTCTATCCCTATCTGTCTCTTTATCTATCTCTCGATCTACCTATCTACCTCCGGATCTGTCGATCTACCAAAACTGGAACCTATCTATGTACACAGCTATGCATATCTGTCTATGCTTATATACGCAATGCAAAGGGCTTGCGACGATCACCAAAGCTGGCCTGGATGAAGATCATCATACTCTCGAGCTTCTCACCTTACAATGTGAACTTGAAAAGCTTCAGCTTATGCCACCGGAAGTGCCCAAGGAGTGAAAGACGGGCAGGAAGTCAGAACCGCCAGGCCCGGTTTACACTTGGAGACAAAACTCAGGTCGAAGTTGCCATCTGTGCTTTTCCATACTAGCAGGAGCAGTCGGCACCCACTCACAGGAGATACCCCGAGACCACGAAGAGACCAGCAAGACAGCAACAGCAGAGCCACGACACTGCCACAATGCATTCTGCTGCATTCAAAACTACTAGGCCCTGAATCAACGCAGAACCCTCTATAAATCATAGGACGCCGAAGCGCGGTATGCAAGTTGCCACAGCGTGGCCCTAGGTAAAGGATGATTGGGGAGTCAGCCGCTCGAGTCGGCAATAAGCCAGGCGCGAGTCCATAACAAGCATGAGGCATGAGTCAGGAATAGATCAGGGACCGCTGCTCCTGACTGTGACTCGTGTTTACGACTTTCCTGCGGCGGCTTTGTTATCGACTCAGCCGCGGAGCTGTTCCTCACTGCGGTCTGGCAGTGTTCCGGAATCGGCTGTTCCCGACTACAGCGTCCAGGGCAGACTCCGCCAACACTCCATGTGCAAATGACGTGACGGTTTTGATGGGGGGGACCAGATTTGCACCATTTACTGCAAAAAACTAGACCGCAGAGAGTCTTGTTGCTCGAGCACGCCGCACGGCCACCTCAATCCATTCTCTTTACCCAACATGCAAGAACACAATGATTACGACAGACATGTCCCTTCCTGGGACGCGCGTTCTTCCTCAGTCAACAGCGCTTTAGGTGGAAGCTTGTTCACTTGTTGGTTCCGCGGGCCTTTCGATGTCGCTGTGTGCCCAGATAGAAACACAGAGCAGGACGGGCAGTCATCGAAAGCAGGTGTCGAGCGAGGCGTCTGCTTGTGCTGTCAGATAGTCTCCTATGTGCATGAAGCCCCCGTTTTTGTGCAGCACCGTCAGGGCTCCGTCTTCAGACAGTCTTATACGGGCCCCATTTCGCGGATGCAGTCGCGAATCCGCAAATTCGCAGTGGAGGACGGTCAGTCCGAGCCCGCCGCCGCATTTCACGATCAAGGAGTCGGGCTTGTAGGTTTGCTCCTGGCGAGGAGACTCGGCGATGCCGTGGGTTCTCGCGCCTTCCGCCACCTTGAGGAGCACGGCCAAGCTGTGGAAGAAGGATGGCGGACCTTCGCGGGAAGGGCGCTTCGAAACTTGCGTTGCCCTGCGTCTTCTGATTCTGGGTCTCCGCACAGCCCCCAAGCAGCGGAGTCTGTGCCAAGGCTGGGATCGCTGTCGTCTCACGCAGAGAAGCCGCACCAGAGACCAGACTCTTCAGCGTCCCTCTCCCCTCGTTTGGCGGGGGCCCTAAACCCTGTGCCTTGATCCACTCCCGCCGCTCCAGCTCGGTGCTGCGATTCTTCAGCTCCGTCCTAAACCAGGCACTCTCTTCAAGCCGCCAATCCCTTCATTCGAGTTAGCACACACACACGACCTCCTAGGCCACCGACCGCTTCCAGATCGTGGCCAACTTGTCCTTGTCCAACGGGAACCTCGGGGCATCGTGGCGAAGGGTGTTCGGAGAACTTCGATGGCATGAAACATGTTGCTGCTGCTATTGCCAGTGCCACATCAAAGCGAGCGCTCTGCGCGTGCCGTCGGAATAGTCCTAGTCGTGCCTCCCCTAATTTGTTTTCTGCTACTCAGGCTGTTCTTCCTGCATGCCGACCCACTTCATCACACGTATTCATACAAACCACAGTACCAACAGCAACATCATAATGTTCCTCATCATCCGCCATATGTCTCAGATCAACATAATCATGTTGCCATCATCATTGGCCAGTATCATCAACGGCACCTCTCCAACTGCAAGGTTTGCCCAAACTCTTGTTTAGCTTGGTGCCTTTACTACATTGTCACTTGCCGGAGTTAAGGCTTGTGATGTTTCAGCACTTTGGGCGTTTGGCGCCGGGATTCAAGGTTTTGTATTACGTGTTGGAGCTCAGGGTTCGCGATGCAGGGACGTTGTTTAGGCTTTCGGCTCCTTGGCTCCGGAAGCCTTGGGGCTTCGTCACTGGATCACCCCCACACTCTGTGGTTCCGGCGCGAAGGCCGCGGCCTTGACAACCTCGGACTCTCCCATCAGACCCCCCACCTCACATGAAACTCGAACTCCGGAGCCTATCATTGCAGTGAAGTAAGATATGTCAGATAGATATACATACATACATACATACATACATATATACATATGTATATATATATATATACACACATATTTCTATTCATTAATATGTATATGTATTCATGCACACATGTACATATATACTGTATACGCATGTCCTGCG